TGAGAGACAAATAGAGATCCAAATATGTAACCCAGCTAATGTAAGGCCTGCTTCTGAGCTGGTGTCAAGAATGTTTCATTTTGGCCGGGTGCGGTGGCTCACGTCTGTAATCCTAGCACTCTGGGAGGCTGAGGCGGGCGGATTGCTCAAGGTCAGGAGTTCGAAACCACCCTGAGCAAGAGCGAGACCCCATCTCTACTAAAAATAGAAAGAAATTAATTGGCCAACTAAAAATATACAGAAAAAATTAGCCGGGCATGGTGGCGCATGCCCGTAGTCCCAGCTACTCGGGAGGCTGAGGCAGGAGGATCACTTGAGCCCAGGAGTTTGAGGTTGCCTGAGCTAGGCTGATGCCATGGCACTATAGCCTGGACAACAGAGTGAGACACTGACTCAAAAAAAAAAAAAAAAAAAAAGAATGACTCGTTTTTTCTTAGCTTCCCTTGTATCTCTACTGGATACTATTCCTTTGTGGTCAGGACGCTTGAAAGCATTGGCCTCAGACCAACATCTCATGTGCTTTAAAAATAGCACTTCAAGGTTTGTCTGCATGGAGACCCTTATCCTGTAATCACTGACTGAAAATATTCAACTCAAATGTGAGCTTCAAAACCAAACCACCTGTCTTAGTCCATTTTGTGCTGCTATAGCAAAATACCTGAGACTAGGTAATTTCTAATCAACGAAAATTTATTTTCTTACAGTTCTGGAAACTGGGAAGCCCAAGATCAAGGTGCTGGCATCTTGTGAGTGCCTTCTTGTTACATCACCACATGGGTAAAGGTGGAAGGGCCAAGATGCAAAAGGTGACCGAAATGGCCCTTTTTTAATGGCATTAATCCCACCCATGAGGGTGGAGCCTTCACAGCCTAATTACCTCTTAAAGGTCCCACCTCTTAATACGGTGACAATGGCAATTGAATTTCAACAGGATGGAGGGGTGGCTAGGCGTGGTTACTCACACCTGTAATCCTAGCACTCTGGGAGGCCAAGGCAGGAGGATAGTTTGAGCTCAGGAGTTCGAGACCAACCTGAGCAAGAGCAAGACCCCCATCTCTACTAAAAAAATAGAAATAAATTAGCTGGACAAGTAAAAATATATAGAAAAAATTAGCCAGGCATGGTGGTGCTTACCACTAACCTCCCAGAAGTCATTAACAATGCCCCCTCTTCCCCAGGTGGAACACATATCAGTCTCACCTCATTGATATGAGTAGTGAAGGACAGTCAATATTGCTCTAGATTTCTTTTGGTTAGTGATAGTCTTTGCCATTCCTAATACCGCACCTGGATCAGTGAAACAGGGAAAGATAAAACAGCCCACGTGTCCCCTTTAGGAAAAAGCTATTTAGTTCTCTGAAGTTGATCCTCATGGCCTATATGGGATTTGTTCTTGGCTTGCGTTGGTCAATTGAAGTTCTTGGTTCAAAGCATCTTACAGGGACTATTAACTACTCTTGTTTCTATCATAGTGGTCATGATGCTGTTCCACTGCATCCTATTCTTGTCAAATGAACACCATCATGATACAAAAACAGAAAGATCAAGATCTCACCATATAGTTGACCAGGGAGATATGACTAAATAATCTCTGAGTGGTGAGGGTCTGGATCTCTAGGTTTCTTTGAATTGGCCAACCTTTTACAAGCAAAAACTGACCAAAAAGTGGGGCTGAGAGATTGAACATGCAAACAATGGCCAGACCGTGTATGGCCAAAGGACTCAGACCACAGTCTCTGTAGTAAGCAGCCAAGGAAACCAAACCATGATCTCTGCAACAATTACCTCAGAATGGTCAGGACTTGGTCAGTAACTGCCAGCTTCCCTACTTTTTGCCCTCTGTTTCTAACTCAGAACTAACCAGAGAAAGCCAAGTATGTTCCCCAAACCAATCACATAAAGATTCCCTACTACTGGTTGGCTGCCTACAGCTTCCCCTGGCCAAGAACCCCCAATCACAGCATCCCTGAAACCTTCCCTCTGCACCCCCTTTACTATGAAGCTCTCCCACTCCTCTGCCTACCTTTAAGTCTCTGCCAAAAGCAAGTGATGCTGGTTGACTCCCTTGTATAGCAAGTTCAGAATCAATAGCTTCTGCATATTCTCATGTGGGTGGCCTTTGTTTATTTCTACAAAGTTAAAGATTATAGGTAATTTTTGGACATCTCTTTATAAATACAATTTTCTACAACATACTATTCTAGTGACTATCTTGTGAGACACTAGAATTCTTCTATCCTTGGTATCATACCTATGCCTAGAAATCACTTGCTATAACCTCACTTTTCTTTCCAGACACTAATAAAGTACCCCAAACCCTCGGTGTGCTCCTTTACCCTAGGTCTGAGTGACCCAAGAGCTTCAGCCTCTCAGCCCTGTGGCCACAGCGTCTCCAGGAAAATTCTCAAGCTCTTTAAAATTCCCAGAAGAAAAGCACAAAATACAGAGTAAGTCATGTGTCTTGGTGAGAGAGGAGGCTCCAGGTCTTGGGCTATGGTGCAGGCGCTGCCTGGCTCCCTGTAGTCCCTTGGCCACAGTGCCTTGCCTCAGGGAGCAAAGGCAGCCATATGTTCTTCCTTCACCTGGACTAGACCCTTCCGGACACCCAAAGACTCCTTTTCCCCAAGGGAAGTACAGAAAAGGAGGTGAGACATGTCCTGCTTATGACATTGACAAAGATCCACAAAAACATGGACACGTAACATGAACTTCATATTTTTATTCAAGAAATGGACAATTCACATAGTAATATTGTCTGCCTATGAAATATCAAAATTGTTTCCTTCTCCTAAATGAAAATGACATTTTTAGCTTTAGAATTCACTTACTTACTTGCCAAGACCAATTTCTACCTCGAATGGCTGAATGTCATCAGAGAGGATGCAGGTTTATGAGCTCTCCCGGTGTGCTAGTCACTGTGGTTGGGTGGTCTTAGGCCTTGGGCTCCCTCCATGCTGGCTGGCCCAGTTCCCTGCCACGTTGGTGTTCGCACTACGAAACCCCCTCGCCCTCTGCTATAAAGTTCCAGTCCAGGCAGCTGCCACAGACACATGGCAGGCAGCCTCCCTGGAGAGGGTGCTTCTCCTGTGGATGCACGGGCAGGGAATACACCCCGCATGCTGAAGACCAGAGGGGTACCCGCCTGCTGCTGCGTGGCCACACGCACTCCTATACCTTTTTCAGGGCCAGAGAGGTAAGGATTTCTTTTTTTTTGGAGACAGAGTCTCGCTCTGTTGCCTGGGCTCGAGTGCCGTGCCATGACGTCAGCCTAGCTCACAGCAACCTCAAACTCCTGGGCTCCAACAATCCTCCTGCCTCAGGCTCCTAAGTACCTGGGACAATAGGTGTGTGCCACCACACCCGGCTAATTTTTCTATTTTTAGTAGAGACGGGGTCTTACTCTTGCTCAGGCTGGTCTAGAACTCCTGAGTGTTAAGTGATCCTCCCGCCTCGGTCTCCCAGAGTGCTGGGATTACAGGCCTGAGCCACGCGGCGACTGGCTGGTAAGGATTTCTTAGGACTTCCTAGAACCACCCTCCAGTTGCCAGGGCAGCTAAAGACAGGGATACCTCAGAGAGATTGTGAGTTCCATTTGAGATAACCTCAACAAAGTGAATATCACGCATAAGTGAGTCATATGAAATTTTTGGTTTCCCAGTACATACAGAAGTTATGTTTAGACTATCCTGTAGTCTATTACGTATACAATAGCATTATGTCTAAAAAACAATATATATACCTTAATTTAAAATTATTTTATTGCTAAAGACACAGAGCTGACACAGAGACACACAGTGAGTACACGCTGTTGGGAAAATGGTACTGATTGACTTGCTCGACACAGGGCTGCCGCAAACCTACAATTTGTTAAAAAAAAAAAAGCACAATACAACGAAGCAAAAGAAAATGAGGTGTGTCTGTATACTATGCATGAATATGCTCCAAAGAAGGAGGAGAACTGCTCGCTGCTCTGCCTGGGGGAGGGGGAAGGCTTTCTTTCTATTGCTGGAAATTATGCTTTCCCTTCAAATTTTCTTTTATATAGTAAGCACTTATTCAAGCCCTGCTCCCAGACACATTTAACTAGATTTCCACCCAGATAAGCTTCATGGAGGTTGGTGGAAAATGTGTTTTTTTAAGGGGGAAAAACCCAACAAACATATACACATAAATACTCCTTAAGGAGAGTCTATGCTCTTGAAAAAGGGGCTTTTAGTATTACATTTTCTTGCCATGGGTTTCTAAACATTCAGAGAAAAAGGCTAAAGCAAACAGCTGGCCCTGAAGATCATGTTGCGTCCCGGCTGCGAAGTGCGGGCAGCTGTGGGCAGCACGGCATCCACGGCAGGGGGTGTGGCCTCAAAGGCCTGGGGCAGCCACTGGGCGAAGCACGCACAGGCCTATGTGTACACACGTGTATGGATGTCCTGGAGATGACGCCAGCCCCAGCACCTAATGCACAATTCCTGTCTGCCAGAGGACTCACCTGCTCCTTGCCAGGTACTTGAGGGGGGCTCAGAGAATTCCCACGCAATCCGAGAGGAAGATACGAATGGTTAGTATGTTAAGCTTACAGTAGTTCAGGACAACGTTTTTTCTTCCAACTTCTAATGGAGCTTCATTCATGACTCTGCATTTTATTACACATTCTGTCTCCCACAGCTCCAACGTCAGCTTCCAGAAACTAGCAGCAAGCAAATTGCTACAGAACTGCGAAGACCTAAACTCCATGTTGTCTGTGCTTTGTTCTAGGGAAGGACACCTGAAGGCAGGAATTCCTGGAACAGGAAGCTGAGTTGTTAACAGTTATTATCGTGTGCCTATTCACATGCCAATCATACAAGATAAGCCAATAACATGGCCAGAGCTTCAGTCCTCACTACTGATCCCCAGTGGTTGTCATGAGGGATTTCCTTGTGGCATTTTAAATCTTGTATGGAAACTTCAAAATCAGAAATCTGATGTTTCCAACTAGGAAGTTAAAAAGAAAAAGAAGTTTACACATTTTATGATACATGATTTTATTTATACAACTGAAATTATTTTCTTAGTCACCTCGATTACAAAATTTAACATGGTATGACTTAATAACCTTTCACAAATAGATTTTACAAATTTTACTAACTGACAGATTGCTACTTGATACTCAGTGATACTTAATATTTAGTAACTTCTGCATATATTATCTGTGAAAATTCTGATAGGACTAATAAGTATGGGTACTTTTATAACTCAGGAATAGGCAATTAGGTTATTAGTTAAAGGTTAATTCCCCATCACTGGGTCAGCTGTTTAGACTCAGAGTTCTTACCCCACTGAGAATGAACCTGCTGTCGCAATTCATACTGTGTAGGCTTTTTTTTTCTTTTAACAATTTGAGAGAGTTTATCCTTATTTATGCATTTAATAACACTATTATTAAACACATCTGAAAATCAAAAGTTTACTATATCTATTGATATCTGTAGAAGAACTTATCAAAGTGTATCTGAAAAATGGCCCAAACTAAAGCCACGTTCCATGTTCAGGAAGCATTTTTCCAGCTCCCTCTCTAGATGTGTGTGCTCACATTGCACACACACACACACCCCGTAAGGCTCCGTCATATGCTCATCCAAGCCTTCTTGGCCACACAAAATGCTACAATTTTACTGCTTTTGTGAAATGCCTATAAAATACAGTATTTTAATGAGACTACTTTAAGTCCCATCACAGTGCTTTGAGTCTGAGGACCAGGCAGTGCTTTGGTAATCCGACCCTTTTCTGCAAAGTTACAGTGCTGAGACAGCCAGAAGACCTGCTACAACTTCCCAAAAGCCACCCCCACAAGATAGGAGGGGTGTTGGGTGTCTGTGTCCACAAACAAGCAGTGAAGAATGACAAGACGCTTATGAGTCATGGTCAGAATCTAAGAAACACAGATGTCTTGCTATAGCAGCATTAAATCACAAACTGAGGAAGAGGTGATATATGTGCCTTTTCACACAAGCTCTGTGAGAGCAATAACATCGTCTTTTCCACGTCAGAATTGTGATCGGAGGTGTAGCAGTCCTTGGTCAGTGCCAATGCTACTTCTAACACAGCTGGCTGAACTGTCCCTCTGTGAGCAAGCTGATATGGTTTGAATGAATGTGAGCACAGGTCCCACCTACTCCACCGTGTAAGATGAGCCACTGCTCTGGGCTCTGCTGGCTGTGTGTGTGATGAACGTTGGTGGCGGGTGGGATTCGCAGCAGCAAAGCCTCTGCCATCAGCAGTCCTGGGAATGGGGGTCACTCCATTCCATAAACCCCCTTTCTTCATGCTGTCCTGGTCAGGGGTAGTGGTCACTCAGTACTGAATGCATGAGGCTGATATAATGGGCCCAGTGGAGACAAATGTGTCTTGTGAGCCCTCTTCCCTCACGCCCCATCTACATAGTAAATATGACATAGATCTCTCCATTGTGCTAAATCTAAGAATCATCCTAATCATAATAAAAACCAAATGTCTTCCTAAGAAAAGGTTACATGATTTTAAAAAAACATTCTCAGGATCTTGAATGCTGAGCCAAGGCCCATCCTGAGGTCCCTCTTCCTCTCTAGCCCTCGTGGGGCTTGGACACCACCACTCAGGCACCATGAGGCTCTCATTCTGAACAAGGACAGGTCACTTTGGCCATTTTTTTTTTCCTACTGCCTTTTGTGTGCATGTGCTTCATATTTGGATCTTGTTGCCTTATTTGGTGGCAATCAGAAAAATGAAGTTCAGGTACAATTTCATATACATACAAGTGAGTGGTGGACCCACACATGTGAACACGGAACTGTGGTGGTCACTGATGGACACAGACCAACACTGGGTGCAGAAGAGAAAGGAATATTTAACCACTAAGACTCAGAACTCTTACCCAGTGTGGCATGTCTGCTAGGAGGGAAAATCACTGGCTATTGGAAATAAAACCACTTTGGAAAGCAGTTGAAACAAACTACCAAAAACTAGTCTGCCACCTGGGAACAGAACTTGGCTTGGCCAGTGTGATGTGCACAAAGAAAGGGCCAGTGGACGTTCCATTCTTGGCATGTTTCTTCCCCTTGTGAGTCCATTACCTTTCACAAAGAAATGTTAACTATCAAACGTGTCCATTAATTTTGCCGCTGAGGGTGAAACCATCCAGTTAGCATATACACTATCATTTGCATATCTTGGAAACCCAGTGTTAGTGCCATCGGCTCTCGTGAGTGGTACAGGACTCTCTCCAGGCCAGTTCGGGTCTGACATGCCTAAAAATGAAAACAGATAATTTGTTCTGCACTGAAGAACCAAAACTTCATGTGCAGACAGTAAGGCCTTGGCAAAACTCCCTTTGATGTTCAAACCAAACTCATGGTTTCTGTGCCAATTACATTAACAGTTTTGTGTTCCAGGTTTCCAAAACATTATATTTACGGGAAACATCATGCTCTCTTGGTAAATGTAACTTAACAGACACTACCAATTTTGACTTTCACGAGCTTTAGACTCTCAGATCTGATGTCCAGTTGTTGAACCATTTAACTCTTTTTCTACGGCTGTGTAAAGCGGCTCACTGCAGCAGAACGTTCTATAAAACGTTCTCTACTGTAAGGGAGGCACTCGACTGTCGTCCAAGCCTACAGCAGGGGAGAGGACCTTCCAAATCGAGGGCACACAGGCCAGCCCCACAGCACCGTCAGCACACATGGAGTATAGCACCAGACCCAAGGCCAGCGAGGAGTCAGTGAGTCGGGAGGCATGCAAAAGGAACAATCTCGGCTTGAAAATGCTTGAGACTCCAAGAGTTCGCAACAATGAATGAAGTTAGGAAACAGAAAAATTTCAAGTATTTAATTGAAGACAAAAGAAGGAGTTTTGGCAAGAACCATATTTACTGTCCATTGCAAGACCACAGCACCACAGACTACGTTCTTTCAAAAAGCACTTGCTACAGCTTTTAGCACTTTGTAAGTGACAAGACAACAGCCCTGACAGTGAGTAATGCAAAGGATGTGAAAACAGCAGTCTGGGTGTGTCCTCCCAGGCCCGCCCGGCTCCTGCCGCCTCCCTGCCCCTGCCGGTGGACACACAGCTGGGACATGGGCAGAGGCTGGGCCAACCTCCACTCCCAGCCCTGGGCAGCCTCCAAGGCATCTGCCCACCCAGGATGGTGGGCCTGGCTGTGCTCCCAGTGCAGGCCGGTGGGTGCTGGCTGCTTCTTTTTCAATTAAATACCTCCTCAGATTGGGTAAATTTATTCAAGTAGTTAAATTAGAAGTACTGAGACTTGATTTCTACCCTGGAGATGACTCATTCGTTAAGTTCTCCATCTCACCTGAGAGTTCTGCCCTCTGTGTTTTCTCCTCTATCATCGTAAATTGCTGGGTGGTGTGATAATTACACTTATTTTCACATCCTTTTAGAAAAACAGTTGCAAAAATGCCTGAATGTAAACTGGATGCAAAGTCAAACATTTACAAATAAAAAGGTTCAGAGCAGACTTTGGTTTTGTTCAGATCAGAAATACCTTAAAAAGCATTACCAAGACTAAGGATAGAGCAGGGAACAACGGTGCTAGAATCTAGTAAATGCATGGGAAATTCTACCATAGAGTTTGTTTTCAATCCATGTGGAAGGGAGGGCTCGAGGAAGGGGAGCGCTATTACAGTCCACCAGGGGCGTCTCCTCTTCAGACAGGCCGTCGTCATAAAGCAGGGAGTCGGATGGGGTGGACGCAGCCAGGTCCAGGTAGTCCTGAAAGAGAGAGGTGGCTCGTCAGCCCCTACCATAGGCCGCCACTGGACACACCTGGGTCCCCTTGCTACTCAAGGGGCAGAGGTCCTAGATGAGCCCCCACTCTGCACTGGTCTCCTGGTCTCTCCGAGCTCCCGTGGTTGCTGCCTCATCTGGTCCCGCTCAGGGAGCCTCATCACTCCCCCCAGGTGTTATCTAGGGGGAGGTGTTATCTCTCCCCCTAGAAAGTCACCTCCCTGGGGACAGAAATGTGCTCCCTCAGTGTCCTATCTCCAGGGCCTGGCATGCACTGGAACTGCCTGTTGACAGCCCTCAGGCTCCGGGGAAGAGCTTGCAGCCACACACAGAGGCAACAAGAATCTAGAAGCAGTCCCCACTTATAGGATGTTTTTCAGCTTCCTTTCAGGGACCCCTGCCTTCTAGAACACCCTGTCAGGGCTCGGACATCTGAAACATGACACTGTTGTTGGGTCTGCACAGGACGCTCTGCTATAGGCTGCAGCTCCCAAATACAGGGTTCCCATGTGCCTGCTACTTCCACTGCCCTGGCTGAACGTGCATAGAAGAGCGCCAGCATTTTCCTGGGTGCTTCTCAGCACTGTTCCAGGAAGGCCAGCTCTCCTTGGCATCAGCCATTGCTTCTGTTCAGGACAACCCTAAATTCACAGGATTCAGAGGTTTTCGCCCAGGCAATACAATGATGTCAATTTTTATTACAGGCGGCTTAGATCCTGCATCCTGCTTTTTGTGTCAGAAGAAGTGACAACTCATAGTAAATGTGTCAATGGTAAGGTGAAGCCTCTACATGAACATCCTGAAGGCAGGCCGGGAGGTTTTGCTTACTTGCATTCCCAAAATCTGAGACAGAATATGGTTCCTCACAGTTGCTTGATAAGTTTTGGTTGAGAATTTGCTGATCTTCTCATGTTCTGGACTTACAGAGCTGCAAACTGAAGGTACACGGGCTGACTCTGGCCCCTCAGGTATGTTCTGTTTGGCCCAAGGTGGGCTTTTGAATATTTAAATGAGTTGATAACAATAAACACTGGGAGACTTCACATAAGCCTTGGAGAACTGAGAAGACCTGGCACATCCCTGGCTCATCTTCCTGCAGGCCACCCTTGGGCACAGTGAGGAACCTTGTGGCGCAGAGTGCTCCTGTGGCTCCTATGTGCCGCAGTCCCCACTGCTCCCTAGGCTCTGCCCACCCCAGCAGCACCCTAGCATGTGCATTTAGGACATCTGACTCAACTCTACTTCTTCAGGTTCCATTACTGAACATGGTTTCCTTTGGCTTTGGAATATTTTCCTCCGTTGCCTATCTGTGGAGAGCTGTTCCTAAGTGTCAGGCTAAGAATCTTGGTTTTTTCATGATTTTAAAAGAGCCCAAGGGGCTGGCTGGAGCAGAGTTCAGTCCGCTGCCTGCCCTCAGGGGACAGCATGACCTTCTGTCTGGCCCCAGTCTGGCCCCACATTGGCAACTCTGAGGCCCTGGGGTGAGGCTGGAACACCCATGCCATGTCCTGCCTGTGGGAACTAGCTCTGGGCACTCACTCTGCTCTTAACCATCATCTTCTCCAGCTCTTTGCTGATGTCGGCAAATACTGGCCTCTTGTCGGCTTCCTGCTTCCAGCACTGCAGCATCAGGCGGTACCTGGTGGGAAAAACAGACAGGCCGTGATTACCTGGCAAAGCCAGGCCTCGATAGCCTGTCACAGACACCGCACCCAGCTCTGTGCCTGGGCTGAGGGTGCTCTGTACCCAAGCCTCAAAGCTGTTTCTGCATCACTGACATCTTGTCTGAGCCTTGCTGGGAGCTGGGGTACAGCCTCCCTGCAGGACCCTGGCCTTTGGGGCCACTGTGGGCTCAGGCATCCAGCACAACAATCCAGCATCCTGTAGGCTTCCCTTTCCTCTGGGAGGGATTTATTTTTACTTCCTTTGCAAAGATACTGGTAAACAGCTGGTTGGATGGTACACCACTGTGGCAACTGAGTAGCAAATTCCAGTCCTTAAAACTCTTAGGAAGGATGAACTGACAGCTTTACGGTATGGAGACAAACAAACAAAAACCTTTGGCAATCACACCTCTTTCTTGCATCTTTCCTACTTCCCTGGGTGCCCAGGTGGCCCACTTCGCCCTGGCACTCCCCACCTTGCCTCAAGCTCTGTGGAATGAATGGACCAGTGTATTTCCACTTTTGGATGGCCCCTTCTCGTCTGTTCTTGACCTGGCCTCCTAGGACCATCTTATCCAACAGCCCAGGGTGAAGTGTGAAAGCTCCAGTGCACTCGGGCTGAGGTCCAGGCTGCCCCTGCACCTACACTTGGACACTTCCCACCCCTCCCCAGGCGCCCTACGGGGAAGGTCTCCAGGTGGCCCTGCGTCCACTTATTCTAATAAGGTCCCTAGGAACCCCCATACCCCGCAGCAGGGTCAGGGGCCCAGTGTCTGCCACCACACCAAGGGTGGCCCTCTGACCTCCACCCTGCCATCCCCCACCACCCACCTCTCCCAGGGTAGCAGGCTGCTCAAGAGTGGGAGGGAATGGGTGCACGTGTCCCCTCCCTCCCAAAGGATGTTGGGCCAAAGCAAACACCGCTCACATCTCCTCACTGCAGTTGTCAGGCCTCTCCATCCGGTGGCCAGTCTTCAGAAGGTTGAAAAGCCGCTCAGGAGGAATCCCAGGGTAGGGGTTGCCCCCCAGGGTCACGATCTCCCACAGCAGGACTCCAAAGGACCACCTGCAGCAATCAAGTGGCCCACTAAGGGGCTTTGCCCGGCACCACTGGTGAGGGCCCCCTGAGGCACCCTCCGCAGAGCCCAGATATCCATCCACCCACCCAGCACCTGCTGACACTGTTGGCCCCCAGTGTAGAGAGTGGCTCCCAGATTGCAGCTGGGTCTGGCTGCACTGATGGATGTCTGCTTGCCCATCCCCCACATGCTGAAGTTCCTGCCCCAGAAAGCCACTCCCACAAGGGGACACACAGCTGATACCTAAAAGGGTGAGAACCTGTGTGATGGGACATAGGTGCCCTGAGCAATTCTTTCACTTTTCTGTGTGCTTGGAAATCTTCATAAAATCTTGGAAGAAAAAAAGCTATAGAAAAATATATATTTTTTTTGTTTTTTAAATTTTAAAACATTTTTTTAAGCTAGTCAAATTTAGCAGTGGGGGGTTGTATACCATTTTTAGTGACACTAATTTTTTTTTTTTTTTTTTGAGACAGAGCCTCACTCTGTTGCCCGGGCTAGAGTGCCATGGTAACAGCTTAGCTCACAGCAACCTCAAACTCCTGGGCTCAAGCTATCTTCCTGCCTCAGCCTCCCGAGTAGCTGGAACTACAGGCAGGCACCACCATGTCTGGCTGATTTTTTCTATTTTTAGTTGTTTGGGCAATTTCTTTCTATCTATAGTAGAGTTGGGGTCTCACTCTTGCTCAGGCTGGTCTCGAACCCCTGAGCTCGAGCGATCCTCCTGTACAGGCGTGAGCCACCACACTCGGCCAGTGACACTAATGTTAATAAGTTCTGATAACACACCATCATCAGACCAGCCAGAAAAATATTTAACTGTGAAGGAAAATTTATTGTGAAGTGGGAACAACGTCATGTCACTAAACAGCATCATCACACAAGCCCACCAGGGCAATGTAAAGTATACATGTGTATATCACAGACACACCCGAAGGCTGGCAGGGGCCGCTGGGCATGTGATCTAGGGACTTCCAGCCTCTACCTCATGCTTTTCTCTGCATTTTCCAATCATCCTACAGGCAGTTTATGTGATCAGAAAACTGTTGTCTAAAATTACTCGAACTGCTTTCTCACAGCTGACATTATTCAAAATATGCAAGTCTGTTGATTGCTTAATACTTTAGAAGCAAGTGTGCTGTGTTTTAAAAACTATCAGGTCTTATAATTTGACCTGGAAGAACAAGTTTTAGCTCCCACTTTGCAGTGGTTTGGGGCACACCAGCCTACAAACTCACTTGAGGACACCTCCCTTGGGGCCCCCAATCCCCACCTGTGGGTAGAGGAACAGTCACAGAGTGCCTTGCCTGAACCGACCCCCTGCTCAGGACCCACAGGAAGGCAACTGTTGGCTGGGCCTGTGAGTCACTAGAGGCCCAGAGACGGGGAGGGGGGTGTGGGGGCGGCAGGTGGGTTCTCGGCCACCTGCTCTGCTCTCACACGTTCCACCTAGGTTTCAGAGCCAGTGCCTAGGCCTAGGCATTTGCTGAACAAATACGTCGTGAAGGCCGCTCAGTGTGGGCGTCAGTGCAGGTGGCTGGCATTGCAGACAGGTGTTCAGGGACAGCACTGTTCCCTGGTGAGCTCCACAGACCAGCATCATGACCCTCCATGCATGTAAGGAACCCCACCCCAGGCAGGCAACACCCACACTTACACATCACTTTGGGTGGTGTAGATATGATCAAAAAGGGACTCAATTGCCATCCATTTGACTGGAATCCGACCCTGAACAGGGGGTGAAAGAAAGGCACTGTGATTTCCCTGATGCCCAGGGAAGCAGGAGTGAAGGAGGTCAGGCCATGTCCCTGAGCTTCCAGTTCTGGAAGGGGTGCTGTGGATGCTGCTGGCACACAGCTGGCTGTGCACAGCCTTGAGGGGCTGGGGCCCCAGCTGGCACCTCCCAGGCTTTGCTGGGATGCCAGCGGGCATCAGTGTCCACACACAGCCACATGGGGCCAGCTTGTCATGAGCCGCATGCCTGCTGGGTGGTGCAGAGCAGTGCTTCTCTACACTCGGGCCAAGGATACCTGGAGCAAGATCTCTCTGGATGTTCTCAGGGCAAACGTGTTTGGGAAACCAACATCTAACGTCTTCATCTAACGATGCTAGCTGACACACTAAAGGCTCCTCTGAAGAGCATTGAGGGACGGAATCTGTCTATGTCTTGAGGCTGGTTTTTAGCACCTCTGAATAAGTGCACAGACAGGCACTTACTTCCCAGAAGCCCTGCTGGGGTCTGACCTAACAAATCCTTTCCAAAAACGCAACTTGAGAAATAGCTTTTCCACAGGTAAGTCTTAAGGCATGAAGCAATTTAAAAAATGCATGTCTTCTATTGTAACACAACATTTACTGTAATTTCTTTTTCTTAAAAGTATTCTTAAAGATTTATGTCCTTAATGAAGCGTGACCTGTCTTGGGACTGTGTGAATGACAATGTGGCTGCTGTCTGGCAGCCTGCTCTCAGCTTCTCCCCGGAGCACCAGGGTGTCAGCAGGGAGGCTCTGCCCACACCCTCCACCGGGTGGGGAGCAGCCCCTTCCACTTCCCCTTCAGCAGTCCTAAGATCTGCTGTCACAACGGAAACCCCGGAAGAAACGAAACCTTGTCCTCATAAACCATGGCAACACAAATGGCTTCTCTAGACCCCTCAGAGTAAAGCTGTATTGTTTTTTCTTTTTTTGAGCAAGCGCCGCCCCCAGCCCCGTGGCCGCGTGACACCCAGGCCTGCACCTTGCTCCTCTTCACGTAGGAGTCCTCTTCGTACACGTCTCGCGACAGCCCGAAGTCCGAAATCTTCATCTTCCTTCCCTCGGCTACCAGGATGTTCCTGGCGGCCAAGTCCCGATGGACGAGCTTGGAGAGAGGAAACGCAAGACCCTTCAGGCGGGGCGTGGGCGTGGTGTGGGGCGTGGTGTGGGGCGTGGGGCGTGGTGTGGCGTTGTGTGGCTGGCGTGGTGTGGCGTGGGGCCGTGGTGTGGCGTGGGGCGGGCGTGGTGTGGGCGTGGGCGTGGTGTCGGGGGCGTGGTGTGGCGTGGTGTGCGGGCGTGGGGCGTGGCGTGGTGTGGAGCGTGGGAGTGGCGTGGTTGGGGCGTGCGTGGTGTGGCGTGGGGCGTGGTGGGGGTGGTGTGCCTGGCGTGGGTGGGCGTGGTGTCGGGGGCGTGGTGTGGTGGCGTGGGCGTGGTGTGGCGTGGGCGTGGCGTGGCGTGTGTGCGTGGCGTGGTGTGGCGTGGCGTGGTGGTGGCGTGGTGTGGGCGTGGGGCGTGGTGTGGTGTGGCGTGTTTGGCGTGGCGGTGTCGGGCCTGGTGTGGGGCGTGGGCGTGGTGTGGGCGTGGTGTGGTGGTGTGGGCGGGTGTGGTGGCGTGGCGTGTTCGCGTGGTGTGTGCTGGGGCGTGTGGTGGTGGCGTGCCGTGGTGTGCGCGTGGCGTTGTCGGAGCGTGGTGTGGTGGCGTCTGGTGTGCGGGCGTGGCGAGGTGTCGGCGTGGCGTGTGTCGGGCGGGTGTGGGGCATGGCGTGGATGTGCGGGCTGGCGGGTGTCGGGCGTGACGTGGTGGTCGGCGTGGTGGTGGGCGTGGGCGTGGTGTGCGGCGTGGGCGTGGTGTCGGGGGCGTGGCGTGTGTTGGGGCGTGGGGTCGGTGGGCGCGTGGTCGGGTGTGGCGTGTGTGCGTGGCCTGGTGTCAGGGCGTGGGCGTGGCGTCGGGGCGTGGGCGTGTTGGCGGGGCGTGGGCCTGGCGTCGGGGTGTGGCGTGGTGTGGGACGTGGTGTCAGGGGCGTGGGTCTGGTGTCGGGGCGTGGACGTGGTGTCAGGGCGTGGGCGTGGGTCACGTGGCGTGGTGTGGGTGTGGGGCCGGTGTCGGGGGCGTGGTGTGGGGGCGTGGCGTGGGCAGTGTGGCAGTAGCATGGGTGGGCGGCCTGGGCGTGGCTTGGGCGTGGGTAGCGTGCTGGTGGCGTGGTTGGAGGCAGTGTGGCAGGGCAGGGGCAGCGTGTCAGGCGTGGCTTGGGCGAGGGCAGTGTAGTGGTGGCGTGGGAGAGGGCGTGGCGTGGGTGGGGGTGTGGTGGGCAGTGGGCGTGGGTGGTTGGTGGGCGTGCAGGGCAGTGTGCGGGGCGTGGGGCCGTGGCAGGGCAGTATGCAGGGGCAGTGTAGCGGGGCATGGAGGGTGTGGCGTGGTGGCAGTGTGCGGGGCAGTGTGGCAGGGCGTGCTGTGACAGGCAGTGTGGCGGCGTTGGGTGGGCGTGGCGGCAGTGGTGGCGGGGCAATGGGGCCGTGCAGGGCAGTGTGAGGGGCGTGGAGGCAGTGGCGTGGTGAGGCGTGCGGGTGCATGTTGGCAATTGCGGGCGTGGACATGATGGCGGGGGCAGTGGCGGCGGACATCGTGGTAGCGTGGCGGCGGGCGTTGGCGCGGGCGTGGGCGGCGTGGCGTGGCCGTGGTCATGTGTGGTGGCGTGGGTGGGCGGGTGGGCGGGGCAGTGTGGCGTGGCGGTGGGCAGGGCTGTGGTGGGCGGGGCGTGGGGTTGGGCATGTGGGCGGGCGGGGCGTGGTGGGTGGCAGTGTCGTGGCGTGTGGCGTGGCGTGATGGCGGAGTGGGGGCTGGTGGGGTCGGGCAGCGTGGGGCGTGGGCAGTGTGGCGTGGCGGGCGTGGTGGGGGCGTGGCAGTGTGGCGTGGCAGGGGTGGAGTGTGGCGGGTGGCGTGCGGCAGTGTGGTGTGGGCGTGGTGGGCGTGGTGTGGGCGGGGCATCGTGGCGGTGGCGGGGGCATCGTGGCGTGAGCGTGGCAGCGTGCGTGGGCGGGGCAGCACTCACCTTCATCTCGGCCAGGTACTGCATCCCCCGCGAGATCTGCCAGGCGAACGAGATGAGGTCGCCCATGGTCAGGGCGCGCTCGTCCGGGTGGTCCAGGGAGCTGGAGTTGCGGCTGCCCCCGCTGCCCACGTAGCCGGGCCCCACTTTGCGGCTCTCGCGCAGGAAACCCCGCAGGGAGCCGTACTTGGCGTACTCCACGATGAGGAGCAGCGGCCCTGGGGGCGGAGAGGGGTCTGCGCGTGGGGAAGCAGCACCGGCCATCCTGCCAGCGAGGGGCAGGCGGACTGGCCCTGGCTCTGAGCGCGCCCCGCCCGTAGCTCCCTGCGGGCTCTCCAATCACGTGCCTCCAGCTGCCCTGCAGATGCCGCCCTCTGGGGGTGCCGAGGCAGGCGACCCCTGCGCTCAGCCCTGCCCTGGGAGGCACCCCTCGCTGCCCAGACTTCCCGCCTCCCCCTCCCCGCATCTCTGGGACAGCTCGGGCTGAGGCGCAATGACGCAGGCCGAGGCGGGCTGAAGATGCCGCGGCTCTGCGCACAGCCTGTTCTCAGCAGCTCTCCGGGCTGCAGTCCTGCCCTGGGCCCAGCCCCGAGCCCTGCTGGTGCTGACCAGGGTGCTTGCTGCCTTGTTGTTTCTGAGCCTCTCACACCCTCAAGACAGACAGACACGCACACCCACGCCCACACCCCTGCCCCTGAGCAGCACAGTGGGTTTGGAAAACTACCAGACCAGGCCCGTCTTCTGTTTATCTGAGAAATGGTGGCAATTCTCCTGCCATGTAGGGCTGAAATTGGGGTCGCCTGGAGGTCATGGCACACCTTGTGTCTGTGGGTACCTAGGAAGCACCTTCCATTCTTGGAGCTCCCTGCCCTGGGGGCTCAGCCCAGAACCGGGTGCTGACAACTGGATGTCACACTGGAGCCCTCTGAGAAACCCCAGCAGGCCCAAAGAATGCCACTACCAGGTACCCCTCTGACAGGACGTGCCTACTTGGCCAGTGGGCAGCTAGACAAGCTCCAGGCTGAGACTGGAGCCAGAAGCCCAGGCTTCAGGAGGAGGGAGAACAAGGGACAGGGAAGGAGAGGATGGGAAAGCAGGGAAGAGGGAAAACAGGGCTGCCCAGAGCCCCACCTGGTGCCCGCTCCACCCCACAGCCAGCCCTACCGTCCTGGCTGCAGGCCCCATACAGCTTGATGACGTGAGGATGGTTGACTTGCTTCAGGAGGTTGAACTCTGACAGCAGGTCCCGCAGCTCACTCGGGGAGGCATTCTCTGAAATGAAGCACAAACAGCAGGTTGCAAACAGTCCCTCCTGGAAGCCCTTCTCTGGCCGTGCCGGGTCGAGAATGGACCCGTCATCTCCTTCACAGATGCTGTGCCCAGGTGCAGACAGAGGCCCAAAAGGACTCCAATGCTCAAGGCTTCTCCTGGCCCTTGGAGTCCGCGGACAGGGGCCTCATCTGCTCTGGGGAATAAGCACCCAACGAGCCAGCGTCCACGAAGCAGGGTCTTTCCCTGGCAAGTGTCCCAGGGCTGTGGGGCACGTGTGAGTGGCACTATGTCCCTGCAGTTCCCATCTCTGGACGACAGCAGTCTATAGACACCCCTCCCATTAACCCTCCTGGGAAGGTGAAGGGGCTCCTCGATGTGCTCACACCCCTGCTTAAGAGGCCCACGAGGGAGGACACCACACAGGGAGATGAGGCTCCCTGGCTGTCTGCTTCCACCTGAGACAGTGGCCTGGTGCCCTTCTAATGTGCCCTAACACTTGTGCCAGCAGCTCATGCTCTGTTAGTTGCCACAGAAAACCCATGTCAGCACACCTCAGATAAAGCAGTGCTGTTTCACTGCACGCCTGACACCTGGGCTTGGAACTTCTTAATGACTGCCACGATCCCCTGTGACAGTCCTGTGTTTGGCGCGTTGTAAAGAAGACTTCGTAGAAGTGGCCTGCTGAGCACACATGTCCTGAGGGCGGCCAGAGCGGGGCTCGGGCTCCCACCAGACACCTGGGTGTAAAGATGTTTTAAGAGTCAAGAGATGTGGCTAAGCTGTCCCTCCTGGGTTGGCCTACTGCCTGGCTATGCCATGCTACCTCCTCTGTCCCACAGACTTGTCTGGAAGGGAGAGGGCAGCTAGGAGTTGGGGCATCAATACCCCTCAGATCTGGCGTGAGTGACCCAGAGCTGTGCTTGGCTGCACCAGGAGTCCTAGGGGCTCACTTGCCCCCATACAGCTTAGGGTCTTACTGGCTTGGGGCAAACCCAGTCTAAGGATCTGGGTAAGCATCTGGAAGCACCCTATGCCATGTGGCCAACTGCTGTAGAGAACTCTCACGTACACCAATGACTCTTGCTCACTGCCACACAGCTAGGCTGCCCCTGGACCCCGGGAGCCCACCCGCCCAGTGCAGTCACCAGCCTCTGCTCAGAGGTACGGATGCATGTGCAGGCAGGCACTCCTGCCCATGGAGCATGACTGGTTATGGGGTGGGGCAGGCCGATAGGGGTCTGCCTGAGATTGAGGGCTAGTCCTTATAGGTGGTCTCTTCACCAGGAGCCCAGGGGACACCTGGCTGAGAGGAATGAATGGGGCAGATTGGGGGAGGCAGCAGCTGTCAGCTCAAAACCAAAGGGCTTTTGAAAATGTTAAATCCCTGGATCTTCACCAACACTGCTGCAGCAGCAGCACTACTAGAGCCTTCCAAGGAGGGCCAAGTCCTCCTTCTGCCTCTTCAGGACCAGCCTGTGCACCCACAGTGGGGGTCTCCAGATTGCAGACACTCAAGAACAGCCATAGGGCTCTTTAGGAGGTCCCGAGCCAGGTGGGAGAGGCCTTATCCACCCTGGAAGCTCCCACGGGCGCTCTGTGCATGTGCCTGGACAGGTACCTTTCAGCATCTTCACAGCCACTGTGGTGTACCCTGCTCTGCCTTTCAGACGGAAGGCTGTTGCCTTGACCACTTTTCCAAATTCTCCTTCTCCCAGAGTTTTTCCAAGAACCAAGTTCTTCCGGGGGAATTCCCACTTTGGATCCTCCTACATCAGGGTTGAGGGAAGGGAGAGAGGGAAGAAAAGTGTGAGAGGAAGAAGGCAAACCCAGGAGGAAGCACGCCCCACCCCTGGACAAGACCCAGTGTGCAGAGAACTGGCCGTCACCTAAACCAGAGGTGGCAATGCCTCCACCAAGGGCAGGACCCACAGCCAGGCCCCTGGGAGACATTACAATTCTCTCCCTGGGGGAAGGCAGGCAGTGACACAGAATAGCCTGAACTCGGTGCCCTGACCTTTGCCGGTCCCTGGCGTATGGTCTGCCCTGACCCTCAGAGGACTAAGTGGGCACCAGCCTGCCTCCCAGCCCAGAACCCCCCACTATGATGGAAGTTTCCAAGGCAACTTCCCTGCGTGGCCACACCTGAAAAGATAGGTGCCACCGTGCTCCTGTCTACTCCTGTCGGGGATTTTTGCCCGTCCTGCACACACCAGCTCGCTGTGCCCCCTGCTCGGGCTCTGGCTGGTGCACCACCCCCTGCCCTCTCACCAAAGCTCCATCCCTGCATCAGGCCCACTCAGAAGCGATCTGGACACGTTCTCAGTCCCCCCAGCCCTCTGTCCTTGAATTCCAACTGGGGAAGACAACATCTGCCAGGAACCCTGCCCTCCTGTGCTGGCACCGGCGTTTATCACTCCAGGTCTCCTGCAGCTGGGTGTGGGTGCAGCCTCAGGGTCCTGCTTACAATGGCCCTGCAAGGCTCACCCAACCACAGAGATGGCACTGATGGGGACCTGCTGCCCCAGGCCAGGGGCCACCCTCTCTGACATGTGTGTGCACTTGGGAACGGCTTCCTCTCAGTGGCACAGCCAGGTCTTCCAGCAAGCTCCTGGGCCCTCAGTCAGGGTCAGTGCCAGAAACGTTGCCATGGCTGCCCCGGTCATCACCACCACTGCTGGTGCTGCAAACCCCTCCTGCTTTCTGGAGACTGCACTAAGCACGTGCAGACAGCATCAATTCGATCTCTCAAAGACTGAGAAAATCATTCCTCCCACTTTATATAAGAGGAAACAAGCTGAGTGGTTGAGCCATGTGTCCAAGACTTGGAGCTGGCGTATGCAGGCGTGGAGCCAGCTCAGGAGCTGCCTAGGGGTGAGGGTGGTGCGTCTTCACTGGCAGGAGCATCCACCACCCGGCTTTCCTGTGTGGCCTCACTGCGGACCAGCTGGTTTGTGAAGGACTCTGGTGGCTCATTCCAGAATCCCACTGTGAGGCCGAATTCCTGCCAGGATAGGGTCATAGACCAGGAAAGCCAGAGGGAGGTGGCAGTGGCCACACCACACCCTCACCAACGTTTGGGGCTGGATGTCACCCAAATTAGGCCCCAGGGCTGAGGCCCCAGGCTGAGCTGACCTGTGAGATGTGGCACTTCCTAAGAGAATCCCAGCCCACCTCCCAGTATGAGTTGGGAACTGCTGGTGCCCTGTGGCCACCAGGTGCTGAGCTTCCTGTCTGGTATTCCCACCTAAGCCTGGGGGTTCTCTGTTCACACACACCCTTGACTCTGAGCACTTTCCTTGGTTCCTCTTAGAACTTGGCTTGGCTTCCAGGTCTTTGGGTAGTGCTCTTGGGAACGCAGAAGGGGCAGGCCTAGTGGCCAGCACAGCAGCCCGGGGAGGCCTGGCCAGGACGGAGAGCCCTGGGGCCCTACCATAGCCTGAGGCTCTGAGCAGCAAGTGCCAACCTGTGGGCTGGGGAGGCCTGTTGGCTCTGGCTGGCATCCTCCTCTGATATCAGTGTCCCTCCTCCTGCTGCCAGCCTGACTGTCCTCTACCCCGCACTGCCTCTCACCTGGAGGGGTCAGCCCCACCCCACAGACTGCCCCCAACAGAGCACCTACAGAAATGAAGGCAGAACACTGGCCTCCTCTGCCCAGTCCCCACCTCTAGAGCTCTGAGAATAAAATCCTATGCCTCCCCCAGTCCCTGGGGCCTTTGCAGGCGGTCCTGTGGCAGCTGCCTGGCCCACCCTCCCCATGGCCCTCAGGGCCCTAATCCCAGTACCCGTAGATCAGTACCATCAGCTGACAGCTTCTGTCTCCGCACCCTGCCTGGCCCTGCAGCCAGCTGGGCAGGGCAGGGCAGGGGTCTTCTGGCCCACAGGGACCCTCACCGGGATCTTGAAGGCGTCCACGGAGACTTGGTTCTCCATGGAGTCAAGCGAGGGCCGGCGAGCGCCGGATGAGGAGTAGCTGACAGGGAAGGCCTGGGCAGGTCGGCGGAAGGTCATCTCTGCCGAGGGGATGGGTGGCTTGTGTGCGTTCTTGTGGCGGTGGATGCAGAAGGTGGACAGCAGCACCGAGGTGATGAAGGAGAAGAGGACAGCTGCTGCGATCACCGTGCGGCACAGCTCGTCACACAGGGGCTCTGCAGGCAGGGGTGAGTGAGGTGCCACCCGGCAGGGCTGGGCATGCTCCCCTGCCCAGCCTCCAGCCCGCCATGTCTGTGCCAACTGGGCAGTGGCCATGAAGGCAAGAGAAACCCTGAGAGCACGCCAAAGAGGGACAGTTGCTGCCATGTGTGTTCCCCCCTCCTAGACTGCAACTTCCCTTTTGCAGATGGAGACAGAGGATCAGAGAGGGTAAGTAGCCTGCTGAGGTCACAGAGCAAAGGCCATGTGCCTGCTGCATCAGCAAGCCCAGGAGAGCAGTCAGGGGAGCTCAAGATTTTCTGCTGTTCCAAATGCCTTTGCTATTTTCTTTGTGAAAAATGAAAAGTAGCTTGGGACCTAGGGCCATCTAATGGCTCAAATACCAGAAAAACATCCCTGGGCTCAGGCAGGACAGTTCCCCCAGCATGGTCAGTTTGACTCCCTTGAGCCACCCACTGCACCTGCTGCCCCCGAAAGTGTGCCTGGTAGGGTGGGTCGTAGCTGGATGCTGCCTGGGCCCCATACGGGGACAGTCTGATCAGCCCAACAAGTTATCTGGTGGAAGAACTGCTTTTTTGGTCTATCCTTCATTTCAGAACTTGGGGCCAGAGAACACTTCATAGGCGCCCTTTGGCCTCTCTCCTGGGCTGCCCCAATGGGGGAACTGAGGCCCAGAGGGAAGGAGGAATGTCTCATGGGGCCTACTCACTTCCTTTCAGTTTCCTCCCTGCTGGGACCTCAGAAGTGCTGTTGAAACCTCACTGGGGTTCAGCGAGGTGTGGGGAACCCTGGGTGGTGCTCCTGGCCCGCCCACTCACCCTGGCTGTCTTCGGGCTCGCAGAAGCATTTCTTCTCCTCGGGGAAGCAGCTGCAGATGCCATAGCCAGCTTTAATCCCCCGACGCTCACCTGGCTCATGCCCCCCAACAATGCTGCCCCCTGAGGACAGACACGGCCACTCAGCCTGCTGGAATGCCTAACAACCGAAGGCTCCGTGCCAGGGAGGTGAGAGCCCTGCTTCACCCAAGGGAAGTGAGCTCTGAACCGCCCTAGAGCCATGCAGTAAGCCTAGCCATTCCTGACTTTCATCTCAACAAAGGGCTCTGCACCCCCACCCTTCAAAACCATGGAGCCTGGGGCCTGACCCACACATTCCCGCCTCCTGGCCAAGTCTGGGGCACAGCCCCTTTCTGCCGGCCTGTTCAGGGCCACACCTTCCTTTTTAGTTGCCCCTGAAGAGTAACCATGTGGGGCACTTTCTGGGGCCTCAGCAAGGGCCCTGGCCAGTCTGTGGGTCTCCCACACCCATGGCCAGGGGGACAAAGGAACGTGCCGGAGGTTCAGCTTGATGTGCAGAACTGATGCACACACGGCAGCTCTGGCTGAAGTACAAGGGGGGTCTGGCCTCTCTCTCTCTACCCCCACAGGTTCCTGCACTCTGATTAAATGCCACCCTGGCAGGTCGAGCGTCTGCGTACGGAGGCAATCCTGGGGGCAGATGTGGGCCTCACGGCTCTCCACAGCGTCGCAGCGGCCGTCGGGGCAGGTCTTGGTGCTGGGGGAGCAGGTGGAGAAGTTCCTGGTGATCCCTGCACAGGACGCACAGCAGGCTGTCACCCACGGGCCAGCCCCACCAGACTCCCCATGGCTACGGGCCAGCCCTGCCCCTCTGGGAGGGGCACACTGGGCCGGAGCAGGAAAACACTGCCCTCGGAGCCCTGTCAGCGTGGCACCCCACTCCAGGGAGCTGGAGGGGCCTGAGTGCACAGGCCAGGCAGCAGCGTGAGAGGGGCTGGCAGTCCCTGCGTGGAGGAGGCCGGGCCTCTCAAGGCTGCACAGTGAGTGGGGCCCTCATAGTAGCTGAAGCAGACAATGGGCCTTCCTGCCTGGGGCTGCACCCCCTGATTTGACTCACAGGAAGAGCCACTCTGTCCCCTGCACAACCCAACTTTGACCTAGACCCTCTGGGGCCCAGAGGGAGTCCAGCCCGGCAGACCATTCACTGGGCTCATGGCCTGGTGCCCTGCACCTCACCCTCCTATCCACTCTCCCAGCACTGGGTGCCACATGAGGGCAAGGTGCTGGGAAGCTTATTGGAGTGGGCCACTTCGGGGACAGGACCCTGTTTTCCCCTGGCACCCTCACCCCTGGTCATCCCTTGGGCTCCGCAGGGGGCCTACCTTTGCCATCTCCCTGTCTCCACTCGCACCTGCCTGTCGGCGAGCCCAGGCCGCCACACTCCTCACACTCGGGTCGCCTCTTGCTGACCGCACAGGACAGTGGGCAGTCCACTTCCTCGGCCACATCTGGGGGTAGCAGACAAGCAGGTCACAGGAGGCAGGCCTGGGGTTGAGCCCCGAGGGGCAGGGCTGACTCACCCCCAGGGCAGCAGAGCCTTGCCGGGAGCACAGGGATGGGCCACCATGGTCCCAAAGTGGGGCTAGCCCCTGGGCTGGGGTGAGTGCAGGAGGAAGGATGTGAGTGCAGCCAGACTCAGCAAATGACAACTGGAACGCCCAGTTAGACCTGAGTTTCAGATGACAAAGCTGTTCTGTGTAAGTCTGTTCCTAATGGTGCCTGGATGCACTTAGAGGTTTATCTCCCAAAAGACTGCAATTATTTTTTAATTTCAGCATATTATGGGGGTACAAATGTTTAGGTTACATATATTGCCTTTGCTCATCTGAGTCAGAGCTTCAAGCGTGTCCGTCCCCCAGATGGTGAGACTCTGCAGATGTTGTGTGGGACATACTTATACCAAAAAACTGCCTGTTGTTTACCCGAAGTTAGAACTTAGCCAGGGTCCTGTACATGTAGAAGGTGTGCTGCCAGGTGCTGGCAGTGGTGACTGCTTACTGCTGGGCTGCTCTGGTCGAGTAGGTACATGCTCTTCCCTCCCCAGCTGGGCTGTGTGGCCTCACTGTTATTCGCATTCACAGGACAGGGGACTCAGGCTCAGGGAAGCCCCCTCCCCCGCCCATCCCTCCCTGGAGCCGGTGCTTACATGACCCCTCCATCGTGAGCAGTAGCGGGGCCTGGGCCTGCCTGCGGGTCTGCCGGTCTGCGGCCACCACTGTGTACTGGAGCTCGGCACATGCCGGCCGCCGCAGGGTCTCCGTGTCATTCACGAACAGGGTCCCCGAAGTGTCCTCGGCTGAGGTGACAACCCCCAGGGTGCTGCAGTTGGCGCTGGAGGGCTGCAGCCTGTACTGGATGTGAACACCGCTGAGCTCCTGGCAGTTTTCTACACAGACTTTCCCGATCTAGGCAAGGGGCACAGGGAACACCTCAGCCAGGCAGCTGGACCTGCCTGCGACAGGCTGGAGGCAGCCTGAGTCTTGTAGGGCGCCCAGCTTGGCCTGGGGATGGCAGCCCTCCAAACACCCTCCTCTGCTCCCCGGGAACATGCAGATATGCCCACCAGCCTTGGCCTTGCCCTGACCAGTTATGCTCAGGCCACCATGTCACTGGCCACCCGTTCCTGGGAGCTCAGAAGGTTTGGTCTAGTGACGGGAAAACACCCCCAGCAGGCTGGGGGTGGGGGGAGTGCTGACTCACTCCCTCACTCAGTGGGCACAAAGGCTGACTCACTGTCCCCATGTACCTCCCTGGCTGCTCCAGCATTGCTCTGGGGACCACTTGTTCTTGTCCTTGGGGCATGGGGTTTGGTGGACCACCCCCTACCCTGGTCACCTGCTTGGTCAGAGTACTGTACCCCAGCCACATGATTCATGCAGTGAGGTCACCCAGTCCAGGTGAGACCAAGGGGTCTCCCTGGGACTTCGGCTGGAACCCCTGGCAAAGAGGGGCCTCCTCTCCTGGGGATGCTGGGGGAAGAATGGTCCAGGCTGTTTCAGGTGGGCCGGGCCTGCAGGCAGAGCCAGCCCTAGCTCAGCACACCCTGCTCAGGCCCACAACTGATGCCACAGCAACGCTGGCCTCCTGGCCTCCTCTACAAGCCTGCTACTTCCACAGCCTCATGTCATCCTCAACTGTCCTAGATCCCTGTCCCCAGTTTACAACTTCAAAAACTGGGCAGGCAGTAGGAGAGCACAGTGAGTCCAAGGTGGGACTGGTCCCCAGGTACCTGAGTCTGACAGAGTGCAGGGGCCCCACCTGCCTCCAGCAATGCCTGCTCCACCCAGGCCCCCGTGCAAACCTCCACACCCCTCTGCCTTGTCACCCCTCCATCTCTGACTCCTCCTCCATAAAAGGCCAACAGGGGCAGCAGGTCAGGGAGCTCAGATGTGTCCAAGGGTATGTCCCTTGTGTGCCGGACAAGGTGGCTGCCAGGAGTGGATTAGGGCACAGAACCAGCCACAGGAACCAGCAAAACCACTGGGACAACAGGACTGCACTTACCATGACATTCTGAAGAGGAGGTGCCCACCTGCAGCTCCATTAGGAAAATGCAGTGTGTGATCTCATGCACACTGCTGTTTACTTAAGAAAAACACGCGAGAAAAACACCAAGATGCCAAACGTGGGGTGCATGTGGAAAACGTGATCACTCCTCCACATTCCTTATTCTCTCTAATGAGTATTTACTGCTTTTATTTTTTCCATGTCTAATCATTACTTTCCAAAAACATACATAAGTTCTATAAACAGAAAGTAGAAAGTAGAAGCGCCCCCTACCTTCCTCCAGAGGGCGCCACTGCTAAGCGTCTGGGTTTGCACACTTGCAAATTCCCGTCAGTGAAGACTGGCTTTTGCACAAATGGAGTCACGTGAGACCAACAATTCTGCAAATCACTCTTTCACATAGCCCACCAGGAACATCTTTCCAAGTCAGCATATTTAGATGTACCCAGCATTGCTCTTATATTAGTGCAGAAAACGTTTTAAGGACACCAAGAAGCGAGGAGAAAAAAGGGGCCCAAGGAGTCCCCAGCCCTGCCTGCTGTGAGCACTCCCAGGCCTCCCTCGCCTATGCTGGTGGCTCCACTGGGCAACTATGTGCTGCCTGGGCCAGGGAGGGAATGTCACCACCCTGAGCCTTGACTCAATCTGCTAAAAGCGTGCCCTACCCTGGAGGTCCCCTGACACCCACGCCCCTCCTCAGGCAGGCAGCAGGCCTGGGCTCACCTGGGCAAAACGGCGGGCCCTCCTGCTCACGGAGAAGGCATAGGCACTGGGCAGGCGCAGGCTGACAGGCAGCACAGACACATTGAAGTGGAGGAGGAGGACGCCTGGCCCAGGGCCCTGGAAGTCCGAGTCGTTGACCAGCACAGCCAGTTGCAGGACCCGGCTCTCCGAGATGGGGAGGCTTCGGTTGAGAACCAACCCTGCGGATTGGGGCATGGCAAGGACAACTGAGCTGCTCCCCCCAGACACACAGCCCTGCATGCACATGTGTATAAACACGTGCTTTCACACTATGGTGCCCTGTAAGAGGCCTGGCCCTGCGTTAGAACCGACATTTAAATGTTGGCCATTGTGCTAAACTGGAAACGCAGAGAATCCCTCTCAGCTGGGGGTAGCCTGTGTGTGTGTGTGTATGGGTGTGTATGTGTCACATATGAGGTGTATGTGGTCTGTTTGTGGGGTGTTTGTGTATAGGGGTGTGTGTGGTGTGTGGGTACACAGGAGGTAAAGAGCCGCACCTCCTCCGAGGGCCTGGGAGGGATGTGCTAGAACCCTCCAGGCAGTTCCCCCAGAGAATGGCAGAATTCTCCTCCACAGCAGCAGCCTCCAGAGGACCCAAGGACCCCTGAAGCCTGGACCCTGGAACTTGCACCTGTGTACCCACCATGTGTGCAGCTGTGGCTCTAGTTTAGCAAACACAGAATGGTGGGAGGGGTGCTCTGGCGCGCAGGTGTTCACAGTGCCATGGCAGGGACAGGTGGGGACCTGCAAAAGGCTTGTAGTGTGAGAAAGGCTGAGGAATGAACAGGACTCGGCCAAGCTAAAAGAGGTAAAGGCCCCTGTGACCCTGGGTCCCTGATGCAGACCCCAAGTGCAAGTGGTTTATTCAGAAGGTGATCCCAGGACACATGGGTGAGAGTGGGGAGGGAGGGAGGGAAACAAGGCAGCTGCACAGAGATGTCCCACAGCAGGGGAGCCCTGTGGCACACCCCAGGAGCCAGCAGGACAAGGGTTTCTGAACCCCTCACCTGACGCAGAGCTGCTGTACACCAACCCATTAGCAGAGAGCTGCTGGGGTGAGGCAACAATCCCTGCACACTTGGGTCACCCCAGGGGCAGCAAAGCAGGTGCTAGGTGCTGGAGGAAGGCCTCAGGTGACAGGTATTCCCAGTCAGTGGCAAGACCTGGCAAGGTCAGCATGGGGTGCTGTACGGCCCTGCTAGAGTCGCCCATGGGCAATTCCAGTAGAGAGGACAGGCTGTGGAGCCCAGCTGGGGGCCCCGGGGTCAGCCTGGCAGACACAGGCGGGTCTGGGCAGAGGGTGAAGGGAAGGTGGCCTGGGCTGCAGAGGGCCACTCCAGAGCTGTGTGTGTGGCAGGGTGCTGCCCGCCCAAGGCTTGGTTTCCTGGGTGCCCTCTTACTGTAGTCGTGCACGGTTGCCCGCACGAAGCTGCCATTGGCCTGGGCCAGGGTCTCGTTGGGCCAGTGCTCCACGCGGAAGGTCTGCTGGGCCCAGGTGTCCCCAGGGAGCAGCGTGCTTGTGTACCGCCTCACCAGCTCCCCAGATGCCGGCACTACATCTGCATCAAAGACACGCAGTGTGGCCACCACGGTGCCCTGCAGGGTGCAGAGGGTACTGGTCAGAGTGGGTGAGAGGGGCCCCTTGGAGACTCCAAAGGCTTTGGGAGGGTGCATGCCTGGCACAGCCCACAGGTGGGTCAGGTGTCAAAGCCAGCTCTGTGTTCAAGCTCCTGTGGAGTCACTCGCCAGCCTGAGCCCCTTGCCAGTCACCTTCCCTGGGCCACTGTTCCTCACCTGTGCAACAGGTGTGAAAAGTATCTCCAGAATTCCCATAGGAGAATTGGGGCAGATGCCCAGACACTGTGCTGACAGGAATCCAGGTCCCCACAGACCAGAACAAACACCCCCATTCTCCCCTGAGGAAGCCACAGCGACAGGTGGCAGAACAGAGATCCAATCCAGGTGTACATCAGCACGCTCTCCAAGCACCTTCTTACACCAGGTGGATGGCAAGGGTGTGAGCAAAGCCACTAGGCACCTCCGATGGCTCTGCTTGCCAGACAGCTGCTGCCCCCACAGGGCAGGCGGCTCAGCCAGGCTCACCAGCCTTTCCCCACAGATGTGCTTTTCTCCCCGCCTCACCGCAACCCTTAACAAACCGGCACCTGGGGTGCCCAGAGAAGCAGGAAATGGCAACACACGGCTTGCTCAGCTACCGCCACCCGCCTCCGCCCGCGTCTGCAGGGAGGCCCAAGGCCCAGCAGGCGACCTCGGGCAGACGGCTCTCCAACCCTGGGCTCCTCCCCTCCAGCCTGGCGCCCTCTGCAGCTGCCCCCCGGGGTGTGCCCAGACGCGCTCGGGTCAGGCCCGGGCCGGGCGCCCCAGGAAGGCCAGCAGCTGCGGCAGGACTGGCTTCCTCCCCTCCGCTAGGGCTAGACAAACAGCGAAACAGACCAAGGCCTAAGCTGCGGACCGAGATAGCGAAAAGACGGACGGACGAGCAACGCAGCCAAGCACCTCCTTCCGCTTGAACTCCACCTCGGCGCTGGCGGTGTCCACGCCCCCGGGGCAGGTGGGCGGCGAGTCGTCCTCGTCGTACACGGTCACTGGGAAGGGCACCATCACGGCCTCCTCGCGCGCGCCGGCGCGCACGGTGCACTGGGCCACCAGCTCGTACTTCTCCCGCTGCTCGCGGTCCAGCGCCCAGCGCGTGCTCACCTCCATGCTGTCCGGGGCGCAGCGGAAGGGCAATCTCTCACCTGCACGTCAAGCGGACCAGGAAGCCCCGTGAGTGCCCGCGGGGTGCCGCCTTCCTCAGGGGCCGGCGGGAGCGGCAGCGTTACAGGGGCTGTGCCATCAGGGCTGGGCGCAGGTGACTTTGGCTGAGCCCAGCCAGCTTCACTGGTTTTTAAAAAATGTTAGGAATTTTTGTTTAATTTTGAAAGCAGTATGTGCTCATTTTAGAGAATATGAGCAATAAAGCCACAACTCTACCATTTGAAAATAAACATGATGGACATCTGGTGTATAATTTGACATTAACACAAATATTTCAGACTGCCTGGTGTGCATCCCTGCTCTACGCGGGGCAGGTGCCTCAGTTTCCTCCTCAGAAGGTGGGGTGATGAGACTAAAGGGCCTGCCCTAGGCCGGGCACTGCAGAAGGTGCCCCAGCACCCGCTGAGGCGGGCCCAGGAGCCACACACGCTTCGCCCTGAGCCTGTCCTGGCGTTTGCCCTCCAGGGACAGCCCAGGAAGCAGGACGTGCTGAAGGTCACTCGGAGACCCCACCGCCAGCCACAGGGAGCTCAGGGCAACTCCACTCATCTCCCAGTCAGAACCGCGAGTTACATGTGAAACACACACATGGGAAATGCTTACTCTATGATCTTTCCCTCTACAGTTTGTGATTACAAGAAAACACGCTAAATAAAACTGAATTATATAATTTTTAGTGAAAAAGGGCAGCATGAATAAAACCCATGTGCTTTGCCAAACACCTGGTTCAAAGATATCTATCCCTGTGTGGAACACAGAAGGGTGACGCTGAGGGACAGTGAGTGACGGCTTTTCTTCCTCTTGAGTGTCTTTAACATCATTACCCAGTTTTGTGCGAGAAGCCTGGTGAACGCAGGTTGCACTTTCTACTCTGCGGCCCTCTGAAACGGCTGAGTGCCCCAGGCCCACTGTGGCCTCCCCAGGGGCCCCTGGGAACCATGCTTGGTGCCTGCTTTCCCTCAACACCCCCGTCAGCCCACAAGGAAATCCTGCTCATCTTCCGCCCAGGCACACCCAGGGCTGCCTGCTGCTACGGCCCCTGCGCCTCTGCCCTCGTTCTCACCCCTGTCCTCTCTGGAGGGCGTTCTCCTGTAGCTAATTGTCTCCCTGCTTCCCTGAACCTCCACAATCCAAATCATGCCTAACACAGCAGTGTGACTAACCCTTAAAGGTAAGTCAGGTCTTGTCAATGCCCCCACCAAGCCTTCCATGGCTCCCCACGTCTCTCAGCAAATCCCTGAAAGTCACTCCCAGACCTGCCTCCTCCCCAGGAACTGCTCTGCTCCCTTTGGCCTTGGCTCTCCCCAGGGCCTCACTGCACTCCAGCCACACAGGGTCCTCCCTAGACCTGCATGCCTGGCACCCTCCTGCCTTTGCTCTGGTGGCCCCTGCCCTGCCAGTCGTCTCTACTTCTCCTTCCCAGCTATCTCCTCCCAGAAGGCACCCGATTTCCTTGGCATGTGCTGCTTCTCCTTCCTCCACAGGAATGGAAGCGCCAGGCAGACAGGATTCCAGGCTGGCTTTATTCACTGTTACATCCTTAGCTCCTGCAACAGTACCTGGCCTATAGCAGGGACAAGAGAGATATTTCTGGAACGTTAAATGAGCTGATGGCATGGTAGTGACGAGTAAACCAGAGGGCTCATGCCAGGGCTCACAGAGCCATGCTGAGCTTACAGCAGGCTTTGAGGGACGGCCCCACGGGGTCTGCACTCACCTTCCAGGAGCCTGTAGGTCATGCTGACATTGGGGCAGAGGAACTGCACGGGCAGCAGGCGGAACTGGTGGAAGGTGCCTGGGGGCCGGTTCTCCCGAATGCGAAAGGAGAGGCCTGTCTCTGGGAAGCAGAGCTCCCGGGGTTTCAGGGAGCTGCAAGCTGGGAAGGAAGCGTTGACGACAGAGAAGTAGACACGGGCACAGCCGGGCCACTGGCACTCGCCCTCACGCAGGGACATGGGCAACAGGAAGACCTGGAGGTAGACTGTGAGCAGGGGGAAGCCGCCATCTGCAGAGAGAGAAGTCAGGCCCGTGGGTGCATCGCCATGCCCACCAGACCAAGCTCCAGGATTGGTGTAAAACCCTGTCCTCACCCTGGTCCCCAGGCTCCCTCCACTGGGCCGTCCAGTCCTGCCCACCACCTCTTCCCCTCCCCCACAGGCCTCAGCTCAAATGCCCCCTCTCCCGGGAGGGGCCCAGAGCCTGGTCGAACACTCCCCCGCCCCACAGGCGGGCGGCTCCTCCTGCCCACACCCCTCCTGCGGGAGTATCGTCACAGTGTCCCTGCAGAGACTCCCAGGAAGACAGAGTTCCCCAGCACCTAGGAACATTTCCAGCAAGTTCCATCACCAAGGCACCACAGCAATGTAAGTGAGGTCTGGATCTCAGCTGGAGTGGAGCTTTTCCTGGGCCTCCATCTCAGCCCTGGGGGGAGGGCTGCTCCTCTCACCCTTTGCTCCTCACTAGCCTGGCCTTCACTGCTCCAGTCCCGTCATGGTCAGGAATTCTTTGCACAAACTTTCCCTGTTCAAATCACTGTTCAAATCAGTTTTGCTCCCGACTGCACCTGGCCAGTCCAAGAGGCTCCTCTCCAGTCATGAGGCTCAGGCCTCCCAGGAAGTGCAGGCCCGAGGCGATTCCATGCTGGCCCCCACCCACGGACTCCAGTTCCTCAGACTCCCCACTGGGGGCTCAGGATGAAGCTTGTGGAACTAAGACCCTGCTTAACGCCACCTTCTCCAGAACCATCTGGGCTGCCCTGGGAGAGAGTTACCCACCCAAGCCCCTTCCCTGTCTTGTGACCCCGGCTTTCCTCGGCAATCGGGTCAGTCTGCCCATGCTGGGCAGAACTGCCCCTGGCCTGCCTCTTGCCTGCAGATGGGGCTCAGGGCCATTTTAGGGCAAGTGAGGCTGTGCCTCTGGAGGGGTGCTCATCACCATTTTCTGTCCCAGGTGCTCTGTTCCACCCCCACCCCACCCAGTACCAGCGTCACACGTGACCCCGACCTCGAATCTGTGCAACTGGCCACAGGCTCCACCTTCCTACCAGGACATGTGGGCCAGGCCAAGCCCCCACCAGGTACAAGGGCAGCTTGCTGCCCATGGGCAGTCAGCTCTCCTGGGAGCTGCTTCTCCAGCAAGTTCCAGGTCATTTGCTAAATCAAAACGTTGGGATTTTTTTCTGCTCCTCTTAATTCTTCTCTTGAAACCTCCAAATCCTTGCTAATCCCACTGGCAAAGGAATCTGGGTCCAGCACAGAGAGAGTACTCAAATCACTCACATGGGTCTCCAAAATCCCAACAGCCTCAGGAAACCCAAGTTTCATTTATGGCCCCAAACTCGCCAGGCTGGACACAGAGGCAGGCTGGTCTCACCTCGCCCCTTATCCTTCTGCACCAGGTGTTGTGGGGAAGCCACACTCGGAGCCTGTGACCAGGGTGTGATGAGGCTGTTAGCCTGTGAGGATGAGGTAGGGGTGTTGGGGCTACTCCCTTACTATGGACGCTGAGCTTCTCCCAGGAGCTGTGGTCCAGGCTCTGGTTAAGGTAGAGAAGGCCAGTGTCCTCCTGGACGCGGATCCAGTTGTTCTCGTGCAGCCGAGTGCGGTAGGCGCCGTAGAGGTGCGGGCTTAGGCGGAAGCTGGGCACCTCCTCGGGGGCGTCCCGCAGAGCATGGACATAGAGCAGGGGTGTGCCGGCCGGCTGGTCCACATACAACTTCTCCCAGTAAGCATCCCTTGAGAAGTAGAGGCCCAGTGGGGCTGCAGGAAGCAGGGAATTGTGTGAGGGAGGGTGGAGATAAAGGCTTCCTCACAGATACAAAAACATTATTAATTCGAAATTCCAATCTTAGCAGAAATTTCTCATCTCTAGTCCTGAGAACGTGAATACACAAGTATTTGTATAGCTACACCTGGCTGAACATGCACTATTTTAAAACAGAAGAAGAAAAAGGAGGGAGGACGGGGAGGCAGAACAGAGCAGCTGCAAACCCTTCTCCATTACCCAAGTCTGGTGACACCTGAGCCACGCCTGAGCCGCCAGCTCACACGGGCTCCAACAACTCGCCCAGAGCCGGGATGTTCAGGGGCACGAGACTGTTGTGCCAGACAAGCAGGGCAGGCAACAGTCCCCAAAATGGAGAAAGCACTTCGTGAGAGAGGCACAAATCTTTATCTAAACATACTGCTGTCACCTGACCCTGAAATTCCCTCCATTCGTCCAAGAGAAATGAAAACCCACGCCCATCAAGTGACTTAATCTAAATCACAACAGCTAAGAGTTGGAAACAGCCTCGAAGCCCTTCTACAGGGGGACAGACAGGCAAACTGTGGTCCAACTACCCACAGAATTGCTACCCAGCAATAAACAAGGGTGATCTAGTGACACACGCCAACCCGCACTGATGGCACAGACCCCGTGCCAAGCTGACAAAGCTGAGTGGAAACGCACACAGCTCCGTGCTGGACTGACTTTGGCGACGGCTCAGGCTGGCTGTGGGTGGGTGGGAGACAGACTGGGAAGAGCAGGAGGGCACGCTCTGGGGAATGAAGGGCCCGAATCCTGACAGGGTGCGGGTCACATGGGCATATCCATTTGTCAACATCGCACAGCTAAGATCCATGCTTTTCAACCTTTGCCAATTTTACCCGAAAAACTGGAAAACTAGTCACTGAAGAAGCAGTGGGCAGAGACGTAGCTTCCCTGAGGAGGCGGGATGCAGGCCTTCCACGGCCAGGCGAGCCCACCGGGGAGCACGGCACACTGCCCTGCTGACTTTGGGAATGGCCAACGTTTTTCATAATAAAAAGTTTTTTGAATTGTAAGAAGCTTTGGAAACACTTTGTGCACTGTTGGTGGGAATGTAAAAGGGTACAGCCGCTGTGGAAAACAGGAAGGCAGTTCCTCAAAAAGTTCAAATTGAATTACCATATGACCCAGCAATCCCACTTCTAGGTACATAACCAAAGAATGGAAAGCCAGGTCTCAAAGGGATGTCTGCACACCATGTTCACAGCAGCACTATTCACGATAGACAAGAGGTGGAAGCAACCCTCGTGCCCATCGATGGATGAATGGATAAACAAAACCTGATCATGCACACAATGGAATATTATTTGGCCTTAAAAAGGAAGGATATTCTGGCACATGCTACAACATGGATGAACCTTGAGGACATCATGCTAAGTGAAATAAGCCAGTCACAAAAGGACAGGTACTGCAAAATTCCACTTATATGAAGTATCTAGGGTAGTCAAATTCATAGAGATGGAAAGTAGAATGGTGGCTGGGAGGAGGGTCAGGAGTTAGTGTTTAACAGGGACAGAGTTTCAGTTTGGGGTGATGACAAAGTTTTGGAGATGGATGGTGCTGATGGCTGCACAATGGTGTGAATGCATGTAATGCCATTAGACCGTACATTTAAAGATAGTTAAACTGTAAATTTTATTGTATGTGTATTTTTCCACAATAAAAAATAGTAAGAATTTAAAAAAAGACGAATAGGCAAAAAATGATTAAAGCCTGTTAAAAACCTGCAAATTACCCTATAACACACAAAATACACCGACATCCAAGGCAGACATTAGCAAACACTGTGCTCATGTACAACCGACTTCTTTTTGGTCAGTTTGTTCCATCTAGATCCTGTTTCCCACCAGCCACGGCTTAGTGGAAGGGAATACGTAGGACTGTTTGGGGTCCCAAAGCGCTAAAACTATTGGAAAAGGAGAGGCTTCTCTTGAAGTGCTGTCCTTTGGGCAACTTTTGTTTCTGGCCACAAAGAGGATGAGAGACTGTAACCCACATGGCCTTAGGGGTGGTGGTCCTGGGGCAGGCCAGGCGCCAGCCCTGGTGAGCCCTTCCCCACCGGGTCAGGTGCCCTGTGCCGGGCCTCCCCAGGTGTGCCTACAGGACGCTCCTCCATGCGGGGACACACTCGCCAGAGTGCTGGCGAGGGGATGTTCGGGGGCGACTGAGCTCAGGTCTGGAGAGGCGACGCAGCTCGGACAGCTCTTGTTCTCTCCAGGGACACTCACCTCCGGCCCTGGTCTTCCCAGTAAGAACCAGGTGCCCTTGGGGGGACCTTGTGTGGTGGCTCTGGTGATGCCCAGGGCTACAGAAGAGTGGACAGGGCACTGCCCACCCCAGCCGTAGTGGCAGATCCAGCCTGGGAATCCTGTGAGGTGCCTCCTCTGAGGGTCTTCGTGGTGCACATGCACCTCAGTGGTCCAGGGGCTGGGAGGTGGGGCAGCCCTGAGTTCCCCAAAGCCCCACCACGGAGATCACACATGCAGGGAGAATGGGCCCTTCCCGCCCTCATCTGGCAGAGCCCAGCCCTACAGGATGGTGTGGGCCCAATCTCACTCAGTCACTGCTGCCAAAGGTATTTATGGGCTGCGCCATGATTAGGACCAGAAGCAGATTTAAATGCACTTAAAATGCCTCCCGAGTGGGCCCTGCAGCAGGGCACAGCCATCTTAATGCTCCTCCGTGTCACAGGCACTTTTAGATGGAAAAACACATGGCTTGAAGTGGGGAACTGAAGAGGTGAGTGCAGAGCCAGCCTCAGGGTGGCTACAACCTGGGCAGTCCCAGTGAGTCCCCACTCAGAGGGCTCACTCGTGGTTTAATGCTCTGATATCACAGTTGTGAAATCCCTCATAGTTTTAGAACAAGGGCCACAAATGATACAGCCAATCTTGATGGGTCACTGAGGAGAGTTGCTGGCATCCAGTGCCACTGGGCTCTGCAGAACACTAGCCTCCTCTGGGCCTCAGTTTCTCCAACTTTGAAGTGGAAAAGGCATGCTGGGGAGAGAAGGAGCGGCCAGTGCAGGTGCAGACAGGTGCGCACCTCTGCACAGGTGTGCATTGTTATGAACTTCTCCCTGCAGACTCATAGCCCCAGATCCCTTCACTGACCCCTCACACGTAAGAACACTGAGGCTGGGAGGTGAGAAGCCTGACCAAGGTCACACAGCTGGTACACCTCGAGGCTATGCATCTAGGGGTCAGGTGCAATGGCTAAGAAAGACATGGTGGGGTTAAGTATAAGCAGGTGCGGAGCCCATGGCCTTGCTGGCCAGATGCTCCTCAAGGCTGTCACCTTTCTGCCCAGAAGGGCCACCTGGCCTGTGGGCTAAACCGGCCTCTGGTGCAAGCTGCCCTTGGCATTGTGGGCAGGTCACTAGCAGGACTTGCAAAGCCTTTTCCATTCCATACCTTCAACTCCCAAATGCCATTGTGGTGACAGAATCCCCCCCAATCCTAGTGCACAGGTTTCTGCCTCAACAGGTTTGGCTGGCAGGGTTGGACCCGCCTTGTACACTTCCATGGCCTGGCACACACCACACCCACTGGTGGTGCAAAATGGTGGTGTTGCTTGTATGAGAAACCAAAAGGATTCTCACATCATCCCCCAATGGCCAGCCGGAGCCCGACCGCCATGCAGAACAGGTGGGTCCCACCTGCTCACAGCACATCTGCCAAAGACCCAAGTCGTTCACATTGGAAGAGGCCCTGGGAACATTCATGGCCTATGTATGTGCGTGTGTCATGCATGTGTGTAATGCGTGCATGCACATACACATAGGTGTGCAGGAGATAGAGAGGGAGATGGAGGTACACCCCTGAGACCCCACCTGCTCCCACCCTGCCCCACCCTCAGCAGGGATAAGACTGCCTACCTTTCCACAGGGCGAGGTGCTGTCTGTGCCAGGGCAGGGACTCATCTGAAATCAGCCTCCACAGATAAACCCCGCACCATGCCCACAGCACATGCTGCTGGCTCCATCTGGTGTATGCAGTCACCCAGCCACAGTTTTGCTTCTAACTTTAACCTGGTTTTCGGCCTGGCAAGACCATTGCAAAGCTCCACGCTTGGCTGGGATGTTATTTGTATTTGGATCCTGATGGAACCAGTCCCAAGCCTTCTCCTCCCACAGGCATGCACACAAGTACACTTGCATTCTTGCACACCTACCTCATGACATGCACTCTGGCTAGGTGTGCACATTCTCAGGCCATGCTGGCCCTGATCATCCTCCTTTGCAGGCAGCAAGTTGCTGCCTTGTCGGTGGAGGATGCTGGGGTGACACTGTGGAGAGACTAGGCTGCTCTTGCTTCTGGCCATTACATTCTGCCTTTCCTGTCTCCTGCTGCCTGACAGCCAGTGGGGCAGGGGTGTGGGGACACCCAGCATGCCCTGCCCCAGCTGCGTGCCCAAGGCATGCATTCCCTCAGCACCTGCACAGCCCACACTCGGGGTGAGGATAGCTTTCTGCAGGCCCCAGACAGACTCCTCTGCATGCCAGCCCCAGCCGCGGCTCCTGTGATCCAAGGGTTACCCCATGACAACCTCAGGCTGTAGACTAGCCCTGGCCCTGGCACCCATCTCCTCCCACAAGCTCTGACCCCAGCTGGGGAGGTGAATACCTCCCTGGTGCCTGCCCTCGGCTGCAGGGGCCCCCAGTACTCTTCCCACCTCCGGCTGCTCTGGCTGCTCCAGTTGCTCTTTCATCAGAGTTTAGTACCTTTCATGTTAACTGCTCCTGTTCTTAAGGACTGCGGGCCCGGCTCCTAATCAGACCCAGACACACACATGTTCTTTCTCCCACACACTCATTCTTTCCCATGCATACCATTGCACACCACTGTCTCACTCACAAATGGTTTCACACTCGTCTTCACACCCAAGCACATGCGTGCTCACACATTCTCCCACACTGCCAGTCTTGCTTCAACAAGCACAGGCATTCTCA